TCCTGTTCCGGATTCCTCTCTGTGTTGTTCTCCATGTTTGTCCTTGATGCTGTATCCGAATTTGTAGGGTTTGGGTGCATGGTGAATTGGCTAAATAAGAAAAATAATTTTAAAGAATACTACAGACAAAATGGAGTGAATACATTCAGCATGAACTTGATCGAAAAATATCAATCATTTTTCATTTTAATGGTACTGATTTATGAAATGTTAGCAACTAAGGTGTGTGTTAATTTGATGTATAAATGTGAAGTAAATATTTGTTACACTTCTTCAATCGTTTTCTTTGCATAATTTTGAGCGTTATTTTGGACAATTGAGTATTTCCAGTTATCGATAGTCATGTCTTAATATCTAAATATTTTTCGAAAATCAGAACTGAGTTTTTTTACTGGACAAAGTATGCAAAACTTTAAAATTGTGTTTTATTTTCAAATCACCAGTATTCACATTAGATCATATAAAATAGCTTCATCAAAACTTTCAATCAGAAAATTTAGAATTTTTCTATTCTTATTAAAACTTAATATGATGCAATGGTGTTAAAATATACAATTAATGCTTAATGGATATAAACAAAATAATTAGCTCTACTTGAATTTAAGTATCATAATTATTTCAAAATGAATATAAAAAATAAGTATCTAAATAAATTGAATCTAAATTATTATAAGGCAAACTATTTAAATGAACTTACTTCATGTAGGTGGGCCAGAGCAATGGTTGCTAAAGCAGATACGAGAAATACCTAAAAATATATAAATTTGATATTTGAAATTAATATCTTTTATATTTTTTTAAAAATTCTATTTCTTTTCGAATTTAAATAAGTATTAATATTGTAATAATTTTTCATTTTTTTTAATATTTCAGTAAAATATGTATGCTGGTGACCATTGAAATATTATGGAAGCACTAAGGGGTGTGTTGTGATTTGCTTATATCTGCTGCAAAGGCGAGAAGACAGTTTCAAGTGATGCTTACGTAAAACATTAAATTTTCGTTGTTTTAAAAATTCTATTAAAATGAAGAAACAAAGCAAAAAATATGTGACAAAAATTTATAATTAGATACTTGAAACTAATCGCATGCATGGCGTCTTAACGTTATATCTTTAAGGCTTACTATTTCCGGATCATATTTAATTGAATACCTGATAGCCACCTCATGTGTATGTGTCGAACCTGATTGGCTTACTCACGCGAGACGTTCTTTGCAAGGACTCAATTGAAAAAAAAAGTTTAGAAAAATTGTCTTTGAAAGCTTCAGAGGTCAAGAGTTTTGGAAAATATAAAAGATTCCGGAAGAATATTCAACTTAAAGTTTTATAAAATAAATAAAACCTAATTTTTGTTTTTTGCAAAGTTATATTTTTTTTTAAAAATTCAAACCTAAAATTAGATTCTAAAACAGACAACTGTAACCAAAAAAAAAAAAAAAAAAAAAACTTTCACACACGCGAAAAAAAAAAATAACCACTCAAATGTTTAATTTTATTGCAACGTAATGAAGAACTATTACTATTATTTTTTATTATTTAATATTTTTCAAGAACTATTTTCATTGTTCTTTATTATTTGGATTTGATTTACATTTATGATATTAAACCTCTAATAATATATAAGAAATTTTACTTCACTCATGCTTCTTTAAATTAACATAAACAAAATTTATTTATGTTAATTTCAATAATACATATGAATAAGTAAACAAACTTTAAGAAATTAATGCGAAAAATATTTTTAAAATAATTTTTTCATCAAATACATTAATATTTATTAATTTAGTTAGATGCTACCTAGAGAAGAAGTTTTAAGCACAATTGACATTATTTGCAGCAATTGGTATCCGAAAACTATGTAAGAAACTTGTTTAAAAAATTATACATAATACTTTAATGATTAATATTTGAGATATTTATAAATTGAAAAACATTGTAAACAATATAAGAAAAAAAATATTTTCTTCAACTTAGTCATTTTGACTTTAAGATGCATTAAATAGAATAGCATCTTAAAAATCTCGAAATATGTTAAAGTTTTACTTTCATTTCATTAAAAAAGCCACACTTTAATATAATTAATCATTTCCTTTCCTAATTTTGAACAAAAATAACAGTAAATTGTTCAAAACTTACAGAATTTAATCTATTTAAGTTTTGAACACATCGCTTAAATTCTCAAAAGAATGCATTATCATAAAATATGCATTGTTGTTTTCATTTTCAAAGGTACTGTAATATTTTAAAAACAAATCATATCTTATTATGAAAATAGTTTTACTATGACAATAACTTAATAAACAATGTATAGTAACTGAAAATTAGTATAAAAATGTAAATTTTTGGAAATTTTTGAAATATGCTTTTGTGTTTAATATTTATTTAAAGCTTCAATTTATTAGATAGTAATGAAATTTGATTTAATTACAAAGCATGGACTAATTTTCATTAAATAACAAGTTAAATTTAGCTGCATTATTGATACAGAAGTCAAATAGCGTTATTAAGGAAAATAATTCTTTCACAAAGTTAAGCACTTTTAAAATAACTATTTTTTCTTCAATAACTACTGGAAGTGAAATATTATACAAAAAAACATTCATAAAAAATGGAAAAAGTAATTTCACCTGAGCGATCATGTTGATTACTTGAGTTTGATATGAATAATACTGTCTGAATGTTAAGGTCGTATTTATATATGAATGATTTAAATTGAATTTAATTCGATCAAAAGGAAGAAATGAATGGAATTTTTTCAACACTCGATTGATTGAGTGTTCTGCTGGCATAGATTGAAAGAATGATAAGAGGCATAATTAAATTGAAATATTTAAAGTTGTGAAATCAAGAGCTGAGATTTACAAAATCACGTATTCTACTTTAAAAGGTATTGGTAAATTTTAAAGATAAAGATAGCAATGGAAGCGAATTATTCAAAGGATTAATTTGAAATTATAATGAATATCTTGTAAGAATATTGCTCTTTCAGTTTCTCTAGCAATAAGTTTACCTTGGCCCCAGTTGGGTTCAAAATTAGCCCATATTAATTGGCCTATAATATGGCCAAAATTGGCATATCTGAACATGCACCGAGGGGCCAATATTGGGATGTCTAGATTTTTTAATATTGGTCCGAGAATGGCCTATATAGGGTCAATATCGAGACTATACTGGCTTAATAATGAATATAAAAAACCGGCTGAATTATATATTGGGCATATATTGGTTGTAAAGTGGCTGTAAAATATGAGGTGAATCGAATAGTTCTATATAATCCAATATCGGTGAAATAACGATTCTTTGAATCCTTATTGATAAAATATTCTTGAATTTTGGTCCAATGAGGGACCAAGTTACTTTGCTTGTAGAGTAAAAAGGTGTTATGAAATGAGAAGGCCCATTTTTCAATACTCGAAATAGTAAACAGATAATGTAATTTTTCGGATCTATGATCATTTAAATTTTTTAATTATGCTTATCATCATTACAAAAATTAGATAAATTTGCTTACGCATGTGTATTTGTTTAAGACGTTCTAGTTGTATAATTTTTTTTTGAATTTTACGTAACAGATTTTTTTTCCCTCTTTCATTGAACAAATTATTAACTTCAGATGTGCGTCTCACTTTGGAATATTTGCAATTTTGAGCTTAACTCAAAGGACCAGTTGCATGCGATGTTAGAGGAAGAGGTATTTAACAATTAATTTTTTAGGGGAGCTTAGTGATTAATGTTTAGTAAATCAAAATTAGTTAAAGCATTTGCTCTTGACCATTTATCTTTATTTCTAACAAAATGACAGAAATATTTTCGATTAGTATGATGACTCTATCGAAAAATTGCTTTAAATAAATAAATAGATTTCATAGATAAATTTTATGGCCACTTTAAATGATGAAAAAATTGCAAATGCAATTCCGAATTGAGAATTCGTACATTTTATTGTTTTTTTACTGTCATTTTTGAATTAACGAAATGTTTGTCTCTCAACATTAAAAGTCCCGTAGAGGACTGATTGTTAAGACACGGTTCCCAGCAGATCACCGAAGTCAAACATCACTGGCTGCGGTCAGTGTGCAAGTGCCACTTGGATCAGTCTGCGTAGGGACCGAGGGTGTGCGGTATTGGTCCTCGTTAAACTGTGCTACCAGAAAGTGCTCGACTTCGCGCAGGTCGTCAGGCTACCGAAGCGGGGGTGCCACCCCCTCTGTAGAGGATCAAAATTGTGATGGCATGTCTTCGGATCATCCTCCGGGATGCTTCCCAGACCGTCGCCAATAGCCCATTGTGCAGCTCTAGTGCGACGTAAATTAACAACAACAACAACAACAACAACAGCAACTCAACATTAAAAAATCCTCAGCTGAAAAACTTGATAGGGCTGAATAAGATTCAAAATAAAAGCTAAAAACATTAAATTACAAACGTGTGTAAAAAGTGTTTAGGGAGTAAAATGAAATTAAAAAAAATCGATAGTTATCGAGAATTATTAACTGCTAAACTAGTAGTAAAAAATATCTTACGAGCTACAAAGCAGCGAACTGGAACGGAAATAAATTCAGATATGAATCGTGCTGAAATAGCCATTTTTATTTATGAATTGGGATTTATTAAGAGAACGATAGAACGATGAAAAATTATTTAGATTTGATTCTTATTTCAAGAATTGTCAACTGTTAAAAATATCATTTGGGTCTACCTTCTTCCCTCTGAATTGTCCTCTTTTATAATATATTATATAATTATAATTAAAGCAAGTTTTCCAATTTTCTGAAAATAAATTAATGTAAAATTTCTAAATAATGTATATTTCAGATTTNTTAAGTTATATTATTTTTTTCAAATTATTTTTAAGCCTACAAATATTCAATTTTTCAATATTAATTTGAAACGTGTAAGTGTATAGTATAAAAGAAATTTTTTTAGAGACAATATTAATCTTAAATTTTTTAAAAATATTGTATCAGATGTTTTAATAGAAATAATAAAGTACAAGGAGTAATTTGCTAAATAATTTATTTTTATATAATTTAAATATATATACATTAATATCCATATCTGGCATAGCCTAAGCCTCCCAAGATTCCCTGTCCATAACCTCCATAAGCTCCGTCATATCCAAGATTTCCATATCCACCATAAGCTCCACCATATCCTGCACCAAGTCCTCCGTATCCGTAACCTAGACCACCAAGTCCGTATCCAGCTGTTGCTGCAGGGACACCCAAATATCCTTCACCACCGGTGTAAGGGGCATCGGAAATCAGTTGAACGGCAGCTGGATTTTGATTGGCGGTTCCAGGTTCGTTGGTCTTGACCTGAGCTCGAAATCCAGCATGGTCAGCAACGTAGTTTACTTGTCTTTTGATACCTCTATCATCTGTGAACCCGTAGCTGCCAGTCACGTGTCCTCCTGTTCCGGATTCCTCTCTGTGTTGTTCTCCATGTTTGTCCTTGATGCTGTATCCGAATTTGTAGGGTTTGGGTGCATGGTGAATTGGCTAAATAAGAAGAATAATTTTAAAGAATACTACAGACAAAATGGAGTGAATACATTCAGCATGAACTTGATCGAAAAATATCAATCATTTTTCATTTTAATGGTACTGATTTATGAAATGTTAGCAACTAAGGTGTGTGTTAATTTGATGTATAAATGTGAAGTAAATATTTGTTACACTTCTTCAATTATTTTCTTTTGCTTTATTTTGAGCGTTATTTTGGACAATTAAGTATTTCCAGTTATCGATAGTCATGTCTTAATATCTAAATATTTTTCGAAAATCAGAACTGAGTTTTTTTACTGGACAAAGTATGCAAAACTTTAAAATTGTGTTTTATTTTCAAATCACCAGTATTCACATTAGATCATATAAAATAGCTTCATCAAAACTTTCAATCAGAAAATTTAGAATTTTTCTATTCTTATTAAAACTTAATATGATGCAATGGTGTTAAAATATACAATTAATGCTTAATGGATATAAACAAAATAATTAGCTCTACTTGAATTTAAGTATCATAATTATTTCAAAATGAATATAAAAAATAAGTATCTAAATAAATTGAATCTAAATTATTATAAGGCAAACTATTTAAATGAACTTACTTCATGTAGGTGGGCCAGAGCAATGGTTGCTAAAGCAGATACGAGAAATACCTAAAAATATATAAATTTGACATTTGAAATTAATATCTTTAATATTTTTCTAAAAATTCTATTTCTGTTTGAATTTAAATAAGGATTAATATTGTAATAGTTTTTTTTTAATATTTCAGTAAAATATGTATGCTGGTGACCGCTGAAATATTATGTAAGCACTAAGGGGTGTGTTGTGATTTGCTAATTTATGCTGACAAGGTACGAGGAGGGTTTTAAGCGATGCTTACGTAAGACATTAAAAGTTCTTTATTTTCAAAATTCTTTTGAAATTCAAAAACAAAACGAAAAATATGTAACAAAGATTTGCAATTGAGTACTTGAAACTAACCACATGCTTGGCGTCTTAACGTTATAGTTTTAAGGTTTACTATTACACTGAAAAAATTTCCGGATCAGATTTAATTTAATACCTGATAGCCACGTCATGCGTATGTGTCGAACCTGATTGGCTTACTCACGCGTGACGTCCTTTATAAACACTCAATTGAAAAAAAAAGGTTAGAAAAAATTGTCTTTGAAAGCTTCAGAGGTCAAGAGTTTTGGAAAATATAAAAGATTCCTGAAGAATATTCAACTCAAAGTTAAATAAGATAAATAAAACCTAATTTTTGTTTTTGCAAGGTTGCATTTTTAAAAAAAAATTCAAACCTGAAATTAGAATCTAAAACAGACAACTGTAACCAAAATTAAAGCAAAACAAAAAATAAGAAAATGAAAAAAATAAAATAAAAACGCACACACGCAAAAATAACAAACAAAACAAATAACGACCCAAATGTTTAATTAATATATTTTTACATGGATTATTTATAAACTTTTATTGCAACGTAATGAAGAACTATTACTATTATTTTTTATTACTTAATACTTTTTAAGAACTATTTTTATAGTTCTTTATTATTTGGATTTGATTTACATTTATGATATTAAGCCTCTATTAATATATAAGAAATTTTACTTCAAGTTATACTCATGCTTCTTTAAATTAACATAAACACAATTTATTTACGTTAATTTCAATAATATATATGAATAAGTAAATAAACGTTAAGAAATTAATGCGAAAAATATTTTTAAAATAATTTTCTCATCAAATACATTGATATTTATTAATTTAGTTAGATGCTACTTAGAGTAGAAGTTTTAAGCACAATTGATATTGTTTGCAGCAATTGGTAATTGAAAACTATTTAAGAAACTTGTTTAAAAAATTATACATAATACTTTAATGACTAATATTTGAGATATTTATAAATTGAAAAACATGGTAAGCAATATAAGAAATAAATTATTTTCTTCAACTTATTCATTTTGACTTTAAGATGCATTAAATAGAATAACATCTTTAAAACTCGAAATATGTTAAAGTTTTACTTTCATTTCATTAACAAAGTCACACTTCAATATAATTCATTATTTTCTTTTCTAATTTTGAACAAAAATAACAGTTAATTGTTCAAAAATTACAGAATTTAATCTATTTAAGTTTTGGACACATCGCTTAAACCCTCAAAAGAATGCATTATCATAAAATATGCATTGTTGTTTACATTTTCAAAGGTACTGTAATATTTTGAAAACAAANTTATTTACGTTTATTTCAATAATATATATGAATAAGTAAATAAACTTTAAGAAATTAATGCGAAATATATTTTTAAAATAATTTTTTCATCAAATACATTGATATTTATTAATTTAGTTAGATGCTATTTAGAGAAAGTTTTAAGCACAATTGATATTGTTTGCAGCAATTGGTATCCGAAAACTATGTAAGAAACCTGTTTAAAATATTATACATAATACTTTAATGATTAATATTTGAGATATTTATAAATTGAAAAACATGGTAAACAATATAAGAAAAAAATTATTTTCTTCAACTTATTCATTTTGACTTTAAGATGCATTAAGTAGAATAACATCTTTAAAACTCGAAATATGTTAAAGTTTTACTTTCATTTCATTAACAAAGCCACACTTCAATATAATTCATTATTTTCTTTTCTAATTTTGAACAAAAATAACAGTTAATTGTTCAAAAATTACAGAATTTAATCTATTTAAGTTTTGGACACATCGCTTAAACCCTCAAAAGAATGCATTATCATAAAATATGCATTGTTGTTTACATTTTCAAAGGTATTGTAATATTTAAAAAACAAATCATATCTCAATATGAAAATAATTTTACTATGACAATAACTTAATAAACAATGTATAGTAACTGAAAATTAGTCTGAAAATGTAAATTTTTTGAAATTTTTGAAATATGCTTTTGTGTTTAATATTTATTTAAAGCTGCAATTTATTAGATAGTAATGAAATTTGATTTAATTACAAAGCATGAACTAATTTTCATTAAATAACAAGTTAAATTTAGCTGCATTATTGATGAAGAAGTCATTAACAAATAGCGTTATTAAGGAAAATAATTCTTTTACAAAGTTAAGCACTTTTAAAATAACTACTTATTCTTCAATAACTACTGGAAGTGAAATGTTATACAAAAAAGAAAACATTCATAAGAAATGGAAAAAGTAATTTCACCTGAGCGATCATGTTGATTACTTGAGTTTAATATGAATAATACTGTCTGAATGTTATGGTCGTATTTATATATGAATGATTTAAATTGAATTTAATTCGATTATAAAGAAGAAATGAATGGAATTTTTTCAACACTCGATTGATTGAGTGTTCTGCTAGAATAGATTGAAAGAATGATAAGAGGCATAATTAAATTGAAATATTTAAAGTTGTGAAATCAAGAGCTGAGATTTACAAAATCACGTATTCTACTTTAAAAGGTATTGGTAAATTTTAAAGATAAAGATAGCTATGGAAACGAATTATTCAAAGGATTAATTTGAAATTATAATGGATATTTTGTAAGAATATTGCTCTTTCAGTTTCCCTAGCAATAAGTTTACCTTGGCTCCAGTTGAGTTCAAAATTTGCCCATATTAATTGGCCTATATCATGACCAAAATTGGCATAATAAGTCCGATCTGAACATGCACCGAGGGACCAATTTTTAATATTGGTCCCAGAATGGTCTATATAGGGTCAATATAGAGACTATATTGACTTAATAATGAATATTAAAAACTGGCTGAATTATATATTGGGCTGATATTGGTTGTAAAGTGACTGTAAAACATCGGGTGAATCGGGCAGTTCTATATAGGGCTGATATTGGTTGTAAAGTGGCTGTAAAATATGAGGTGAATCGAACAGTATCCAATATCGGAGAAATAACGATTCTTTGAATCCTTATTGAGCAAATATTCCTGAATATTGGTTTAATGAGGGACCAAATTATTTTGCTTGTAGAGTAAAAAGGTGTTATGAAATGAGAAGGCCCATTTTTCAATTTTTGAAATAGTAAACAAATAATGTAATTTTTCGGATCTATGATAATTTAAATTTTTCAAGTATGCGTATTATCATTACAAAAATTAAATAAATTTGCTTACTCATGTGTATTTGTTTAAGACGTTCTAGTTATATAACTTTTTTTTTAATTTTACGTAACAGATTTTTAGTTCCTTTCTCATTGAACAAATTATTAACTTCAGATGTGGGTCTCACTCTGGAATGTTTGCAATTTTGAGCCTAACCGAAAGGGCCAGTTGCTGCGAAGTTAGAGGGAGAGGTATATAACAATTAATGATAACCCTATCGAAAAATTACTTTAAATAAATAAATAGATTTAATAGATAAATTTTATGGCCTCTTTAAATGATGAGAAAATTGCTAATGAGTAATTCCGAATTGGAAATACGTACATTTTATTGTTTTTTTACTGTCATTTTTGAACTGACTAAATGTTTGTTTCTCAACATTAAAAAATCCCAAGCTGAAAAACTTGATAGGGCAGAATAAGACTCAAAATAAAAACAAAAAACATTAAATTACAATTGTGTGTAGAAAGTGTTTGGGGAGTAAAATGAAATTAAAAAAAATCGTTAGTTCGAGAATTATTAACTGCTAAACTTGTAGTAAACGATACCTTACGAGCTACAAAGCAGCCAACTGAAACGGAAATAAATTGAGATATGAATCGTGCTGAAATAGCCATTTTTATTTATGAATTGGGATTTATTAAGAGAACGATAGAACGATGAAAAATTATTTAGATTCGATTCTTATTTCAAGAATTGTCAACTGTTAAAAATATCATTTGGGTCTACCTTCTTCCCTCTGAAATACCCTCTTTTATAACATGTTATATAATTATGATTAAAGCAAGTTTTCCAATTTTCTGAAAATAAATTAATCTAAAATTTCAGAAAAATGTATATTCCATATTTCATGCAAATATCCTCAGTAGTTTTTGAGAGATTTAATTTAAAAAATTAATTATTTAAATTAAAAAAAAAATCAATTTAAAGTTTCAACCCAATAGGGGGAATAGAACGAAACTTTTGTGACATTCGGGAAGAGATATATTACCACAATTTTTTGAATAATGTACATTGATAATTTGAAACGTTTCTTTATAATGAGCTTAAACAAATGAAATACATATGTGGGTACAAGAAATACATATGTGAAATATGAATGTGGGCTTCGTTTGTTGTGGATTTTCTGCGGAATTTATCAGTCTTAAGCTCTCTTTGATAGTATTGTGAGTTGCTGACGTAAAATATCCTCAGTGGTTGACTGATCAGGATTTTTTTGCGTCTTGCCTTTCTCAGTGGTGAATCATTTGATTTTAATAGGGTGCGTTTTTCTCTCTTTCTTAAATACTGATGAATAATTCTTATTATTCTGCATACTATTTTCCCACAGATTTGACAAGGACCCTGAAAATATGTATAAATGAAAAGCAGCCATTACTGAACACTCCCCTTTTCTTTCTTTATACAGGGCACTTTAAAATAACACAGCCAAAATTGACAGAGCAAAGTGTACGTACAAAAGAAATAAATCGTATAGGAACATAGTCATAAATGTTAAGGGACAGAGATTTGTTTCCTAACAAGGTGAATTTGAATCCCAGAGATGGGCTCGCCTTACTCGGCTCGCACCGACCACAGTGCTGAAGTAAATTACAATCAGTGGTGGACGAATCATGATTTAGAGTGTCCTTGCCATCAGACTAACTATGGAAGGTTTTTGTGGTTTTCCTCTCCAATACGGGTTAGTCCCAGCATAAAAGTCCTCCGCACGAAGGCAAGTTTCTCCCAATACTTCATCCAGGAGGTTCCTTGTCTTCTGTGTCGGGTTCAAAATTACTAAGCTATGGAACTGAACAGTGGTAGTCTTAAACTCAAAATTATATGAGCTGTTCAACGACCGTTGTAAAATAAAATAAAATAATCTGGGTTAATTGCAATTGTATCACTTAGAAGAAGGGCCAGTTGTTGATGACATGAAAATTCCTGAAAAATGCCTTCAGCAAATACAAAGTCCTTTAAAAATGGTTTTAAAATATATATTAATATAAATATTAATGTAAATATTAATATATAATTAAAAATATATATCAAAAATAAAATATCAATATAACTTTTAAATATTCCACACCACGTTTTATATAAGCTTTTTCTTATTTTTTTAAAAATAAATTGTAGCTTTTAAGTTTAATAAAAATAATGAGTAATATTCAAAATGAGTAAAAGAAAATGTAAATTAATATCTGATCAGTAAGAATTGTCTTATTGATACAATCTTACAATGAAAGATGTAATACAAAATTACAATCTTCAGAAACTTCTCACTGAGGAAAAAAGAATGATCAAAACTATCAGAATATGGTAAAATTTGCCGTGTAGGGGACCGCCGGAAACCTCGGTAATTTTTTCAGCAGTATTTTAGTACTGGTTTCGGCAAAATTAACGATAAAATATGGTTTTATAATTTTTGATAAAATTTGGTAAACGGGGTAAAATTTGATAATTTTATCATGATGCCTTAGAGCGAGGCATAAAAACCATTCATTCGCTTAAATTTACTTTTCAATACTATATAGTTTCGTAAATAAGTCGTAATAAGAATTATAATTTTGTAAACCAGAAATTTCGGTTAACAGTTACCATCTGAACAGAAAAATATACTAATGAATGGTTCAAATATCGTATATTTTGGTTTTTCTTAACAAAAATTATGTTTTTTATTTTTATCTGGCCGAAATGTCATTACTATACAGTACGGTAATTTCAACAGAATATTTTTTATCCGCGCAAAATCGCATCATGATATCAAATGTGTGATAATATTTTTAAATTTGAACGAATGCTATTAACGCTTTTATAATGATATTTTTGAAATCGAAATCAACTGATGCTTTCAAAATCAAAAGAACGTTTACTAAATTAGATTACTTAAGTATGCAAAGTACTTAATTTATTTTCAAATTCGTTTCAAGTTTTCTTCTTTTATTGATAGGATTTGACTTACTTTTGTTAGATGGAAAATTTAGTTAATACTAATTTTAAACTCTTAAATTTAAATACTTAAGTTTATAAACTATAATACGTGAAACCTCTCGGGAGCTCTCTGTTTTACAGCAAAATGGCTGTTAATTTAGGTTGTTCGTTATTAGGAGTTACCTCCTTTGACTTCAAAACGTAATCGATGGCACATGATTTTTCGTTAACGATGGCACTTGATTTTTCGTTAACGATTTTAATTTTAGTCAGTGCCATTTACTTGGTGCGGAAATGCCACTTGTGTTGGCGTCATGAAAACTGGATCGATAAATAAAATTTAGTGTCAATAAAAATGATCCCTACTGATATAATTATGTATAAAAACAAATTGACCAATCATAAAGAATAGAACTATTTTAAATAAATAAAAATTATGTTTTTTGTTTAAGTTTGTATAAAATTCTAGATCACAAATATGAGTTAACTTTAAAAGAGAAAAAGAGGTTTGTTTGAGCACTTTAGTTTTTTTCTAAAGTAACTTTTTCTTTTTTAATTTGACTCTTAACTCTCAAAATAAATCATTGGTCATAAATAAATCAGTGATCACAATATAAGGTTGTAGATCTCCTTCAGAGATCGGTAAAAAGAGCTCTCTAAAATAAGAGCGTCCTCACACGTATATTGAAAATATTTCTATCAACTTATTTGTTTTGTTAAAATTTTTGTTTTGATATTTTTTCGGGTTTCCTTATTTAAACTTTGTCGCATTTGATGCAGAAATTTGCCCGGTCCTGGGGAGAGGTTTTGTTGGTCTCTCCCAAAGGTTTTCTTCAACACAAAGACTATGGAAGAAATTTCGTGCCTCCAAAAATGGTTGTAAATAGAGGTTGTCTTTCCTGGAGGTTTCACTGTATTACGTTGTTTCGAGATTTACTTATGGAATTTGAAATATTTTTGTTCTTTAGTTGTAAAATGTGTACTTCCGAAATACTAATAACGTTTTTTCATCTCACTGATATTCAGAAATGATAAGTCAAACTTTTCTTTTAAATAAAAACCAAAATAATATTTTTTCCGATAAAAAAATATTAAAATTAGACATCTAATAAGTCGCTCGTCTAAGAGCAAGTTTTTTTTACATAATTGGAATATAGTGTTTAATTGGAATGTAATTATTTATTATAATACGTGATAAACATTGCTAAAGCTGTTTATCCAAGGTTATATTTTTAGATTAAAATTATTTG